GGTCTGAGCGCTCACCCAGTGTGCACGGATTCTGCCCGGCACCAGATGAGGAGCAAGGCCCAGCCCAGGTCAACAGTGGGACAAACTCGTGTCCTTTTTTGTGTATTTTTCAACTTTTGCATTTGAACTTCCAGTTGAAATAAAATGTTTATCACAGACATAACATCGTCACGTCTCAAACTTCGGTAGGCTCACTTTGAATGCCAGAGGTCTACTGGGCTGGTCCCGACACAGTACGCAAGGGAATCTCCATCCTCTGCTGGATTCTTTCTTATGATACAAAATGTGGCTGGAGAGCGCGTGTGTGGGGGAGTCCCTCTGAAGAGATAATAAAGGTGGGGCGATTCTCAAGCCCTTTTCGTCACCTCAGCATTTCTTGGGTCACGCACAGCCCAAGGGCTTGCACTTCTGTCTGCCATCTGCCTGGTGAGCCGCAGGAGACCTGGCCCACGATGGACTTATCTGGCCCCTGCTGAACATGTCTGATTTTAATGGCAAAGTCATAGTGCTGTGACACACACAGCCAGCTTCTCAGCTGCAGAGCGAGCTTCCTCCCCAGCCACTGGTGATGTCTGAAGACCCTTGCGGTGGGGGCGCCACTGGCAACCTGGGGTGAAGGTCACAGGGGCTGCCCAGACTCTGCAGAGCACAGGGTGGCCCAGTGGGCGAGAAGTGTCCTGTCCACAGGCCGCTGGGTAGCACACCAGGGTGGCACATTGCAGAAGCAATGCCGGGGGAACAGAAGCTGCTGGAAGGGACCCCTCTCCAGGGAGGCCGCGCCAGTCTGCGGCTGCAGCAGCACCGCAGGAGCCACTGTGTCCCCAGGCCCACGCTCACCAGGTCTTACCCACACCCTACATCACAGAGGGGTCTCACACGCCAGGGCCACCCCAGAGTCTTCCTTTTCACCTGGGCATCCATGACCTTTACTGTCCTCACAGAACAAGGGTGGGCAGTCACCCCTGGGGCCCCCCAGCGAGAGTCTCATCAGCTAAGGAACAACGCCTGAGGCTGCTAGGTGCCGACCAGGACACAGTGGCTGCTAAGCCCCGGGACCTTCTGCCAAGCACTGACCCAAGGACCATGGCCGCTGACATCTGGACTTTAAGGGAAAGCGCCTTTCAGACTCCCACGCCACCTCCTCCTCTTGCAGCCCCACACCCCACTCCTGAAAGTACAGACAGGACTCAATATGCAGCAACCCAGAGCAGCCTGGCAAGGGTCTGTCACAGAAAGCACAGCCATGGATCACAGGCAAGTAGCCCTGGAGTTATGCTACTCGGCCTGGCATGGGTAGCGCATGGCAGGAATCACCTAGAGAACCCTCGTGGCTTTTCTTCCGCAAGGACAAGAAGGGCTCCATCAGTCTGTCCAGCCACTGTCCTTGTTTCTTTCCAAGCAGGTGAGCAAAGACACCTCCAGTCCCAAAGGACCGACTGGTCTCCGGGCAAGGAATAGGGGCACCTTTTTGGCTGCATGACATCAAGACTTTTGAAATTCATTGGCTGAGACAGTGAGGATGAATTCAGCCTGCTGTGGGACACTGACAAGATGGAGCTGGGATTCCTTCAGCTGCTGTGATGCCGCCCTCTGTGGCTCCCATCCTGCATGGTGAGGGGGGGAGGGAGCTGTCAACACCACCATCACCACACCATGAGCGCACGAGCCAGGGCTGCCCGGGGCTGATCGCCCCCTCCAGGCCTCCGCTCTGCTTTTGCTCCCATTGTATGGACCTCATAGTTGAGATGCAGAGAAATTAAGAACCTTGTCCCAAGTCACAGAGCTGGAAAGAGATGCAGTGAGACAGGTGCAGGGCTGAAGCCCTCAGTCTCTCTCGGCCCAGAAAAGATCCATGTGGGCCACAGACCACTTCACTTGAGAACTTCCTGGGCTAACGAAAACTGTGCCCCCACAATTCACACGCTGAAGCCTGAGCCTGAGTGGACAGCACTGGAGGTGAGCATGGGGGAGGGCTGGCCATGCAAAGGGACGCTGCGCTGCCTCCTCTCCCCAGCACGAGAGGCTGCAAGCAGCAGGGCATCTGCATGACCCAGGAAGTGGCGCAACCAGACAGTGACTCTGCAGGTTCTGCGTCTTCACTTCCAGCCCCCAGGACTGTGAGAAGTGCAGTTCTCTATAAGCGTTGTCCAGAGCGTTGTGCAAGAGCAGGCTGAGCTCCCTCAGCAACCCTGACGAGACCTGGGGCCTGCTCCGCCTCACAGGGCACAGCCGAGATGCGCCTTGTACAGTCCTGCAGCTGTGACTTCCTGCAGCAGAAATGGTCTGTATGCGAGTAAGCTGCATGGGCAGCTCAGAGGCTCGGCAGAAGCCCGCTGGCCCATGCACCGCCTGCCCTTGCAGTCCATTTTTGCAGAAGTCCTCCACCCACACACCCTCCGCAGCCTCATCTGCCCTGGGCCAGACTCAGGGGCATGTTACAGATAAAACCCATAGGGTCCTCGACCTTTGGCCCAAGATAAGAAGAGGCCAGAATGCTAAGATTTCTCTGTGTGTGTGTGTGTGTGTGTGTGTGTGGTCTCTTTCTTGACAGATGTTAAAACTTAGACCTTGGGGTGGCAAGAACCTTTATAAAGAAGGTTCTTTATAAAACTTGCCTTTGCTGACTTGAAGACAGACACTCCCCAGAGTCCGTGGTCAGGATGACAGCACCTATGTGTGAGCCCGTGAACCAACAGGCATGTGTGCAGGCGTCCTGGCACTGAGCTCTGCGTGCAGCCCGGCGTGGAAACACCCAAAGCACTGTTCTGTGTTGGTGGCGCCATCAACGATGTCCTGCCTGGAAATCCCATTGTCGGACTAACACAAGCCCATCATGGTGGCTCCAGCCAGCAATAGCCACCTCCCAGCCATGCACGAGCCAGCTGCTGCTGTGGCAGCTGAGGTACCACACCCTAAGTTAAATTCTAAAGCAGACACCCAATGATGTGACTGATACAGAAAGGTTTAGCACGAGAAATTCCTTTGGCATATTCATCTGGGACAAGATGGCGGCAGACAGGCTCTGTGAACGGGGTGTGTGTGTGTGTGTGTGTGTGTGTGTGCATGCACATGTGTGCATGTGTTCACAGGTAGGCATGTGTAGATGGTGGGCAGGTAGATGGATAGAAGATAAACACTGTGATTAAGACCAATTAATCTGCTGCCAGGTGCTTTTCAGCTTCCACGCACCAACCAGGATACTGGAATGGGGCTGGAGCTGGAGACACCAGGGACAGAAGCTGGCAGCTGACCGGGCCTTGTCCTCAGCAGGGGAAGCAGACACCCTCAAAGGCTGTCCCCGTGTCTCCCAAAACAGCATCTCTAGACATTTTCTGTTACCAACACTAATTGTTTTTCCTGTATTTTGTGCAGGATCTCACTCTGCAGCTCAGACTCATAGTGATCCTCCTGTTTTCAGCCTCCCCAGCACTGGCATTACAGGCGTGCACCACCATGCTCAGGTTCTATGGCCACTCAGCATGCCCAGGGGCAGGGCTGGCATGGTATGTGGGACCGGGGATCGAGCCCCAGCCCCTGCACTTGCCTAAGCAGGTGCTTCATGCACTGAGCTATTTTTCTCCAGCACCCTTAATCTCAGAAAATTGTAATGTAGGAGAGCTGTGGACATCCTGGAAAATATAATCTAAGCTTGCTGTGCTTGACTTCAGGCTTTGGGAACCCCAGATTATATCTCTGGGAGTGGCACAGAGCTCAATTTGTGAGTAGCTGGAAATTCTGCTTCTCACAGATCGCTTCACCAAGTGGGCAAATGAGTGGGTTGACTGATTCATCGACTGGCCAATGGCAGATCTGGGGCAGGCCTGAGACCCATCAGTGAACAGTGCAAGTCTGTTCTCCTGACCCGGAACCCTCTCCTGGGGCGAGAACCTTCTGCCACTGGCACTGGGCTGAGGACAGCACTGCTCCTCAAGGCTCCAGCTATTCCAAGCCCTGCACTGAGGGTGGAAGGTGCTAATCCAGACCTGGAGCTGTGGAGCTGGAGGTTGGCTTCAAATCCCAGCCTGGCATCAATTAGCTGTGAGCCCTTGGTATACACACGTAGCCACCCCGTGCCTCACATTCCCCATCTGTAAATAGTGACATCATCAAGTTGTGCAGTTGCTTTGGGAAGAAGACTTTTCTCATAATAACCTTCAATCAGTGTCCAGTGTACATGATGCACCTGCTGAGAGGGGGTGGCCATTGTCACTGTGGGTGTCCAAGAAGCGCACCCCAGTATAGGTATGGGGCTTATCTAGGCCTGTACAACAAAAGTGAGACAGGCTACACCAGTGGCTCTCAAGCAGGCTGACTCTGTCTCTCGGGGTGCAGGCAGCCAGGACTGGAGCCCTCCTGGGCTGGCACATCAGACATGACGGCGCTCCTGGCATCTGGTCAGCAGAGGCCGGAGCTGTCACCAGGCATTCTGAAATACTGCATGCATTTTACAGCACACACAAGAACTAACATTCAACCCTCCAGACACAAGTTTCCTCCATGCCTTTTAAATCCCTGAGACTGCAGAAAAGCTTTATCCTCAGGGGGCGAGGCTGCCTGCCCCCTGTGCTCCAGGCTCAGGTCCTCCACCCGTCGCTCCCCACACTAGCAGAGAAGGGCCTCAAACACAGCATGGCAGTTGGGGTGCAGGGTCCGCCTGGCTGGGCGTGGGACATGCCTGAGGCTTGGTGGAGTGCATCTGGGTGGGTCATGGGAGCCTGGCCTCGAGGTCTACGTCTGGTCCCTCGTCCCCCTCTCTGCCACTGCTCCCCTGCCCTGCTTCCTGGCTACCATGCACTATGCGGCTTTGCTGTGCAGCACCCTTCTGCCCTGATGTTCCTTCCTTGGGTCAGTGACCAGGGACTGGATCTCCATACTGTGAGCTTAGCTAAGCCCTTCCTCCTTTAAGTCATGGCTGTTAAGTTCCTCGCAGCAGACAGGATGACTAATACATGTGGCCCCGCACTCAGCAGCCATGACACTGCACCCCTGGTCCTCCTCACCAGAAATGATGGAGTCATTCAGTGCCTCTTCGTCCTGATACAAAAGCAAGTCGTCCTTGAGTTCGGAATTCCCGATCAAGTTCTCCTTGTTCTCCTCTGACTCTTTCGCTGCAGTCCGCTTGTCTTCCAAGGCCTCGTCGAAGCTCCACGCCTCCTCCCTCTCCTTGCTCCGCTCCAGGCTGGCCGTTCTGGAGAGGTGCGCGTCCAGCCGCTTCTTAGGGGAGCCTTTGCTTTCCCGTCCCGGGAAGCTAAAGCAGAAAAACAGCTCTGTTCAGCTCCGCCATTCCCTCACCCAGAAATCCGACAGCATCCACCACGGGGCTCTCCACAAACTGGGTAAATGTGATCACAAATTTACATGGCTCCAGCTTTTGTCCTGTGGGCAGGGCACTGTGGGAGGACCACAGGGCTGTGAGGCCCCGCCGTGGCTGTTCAGATACCATGCTGCAAAGCAGGGAACACTCGCGTACTAAAGCTTGCTAAAGCACAGTGCAGCAACCCTGGGATGGGTGGCGGACGTCAGGAGACCCGAGGAAGGTGTTCTGTTTATTTAAATTCCCTCCAAGCCACATTGAGCTCTGCGGTCTACACAGCCACCACTAATTCCCCTTTCCTTCCTAGCCCATGAGCCACAGTGATCAAAATAAAGGGGGCAGCCACAGTGCTCCCCGTGCTCTCACCTAGTGACCTGAGGGCCTTTGGGTCTTGAGCAAAGATGACAGCCTCTTTTCTCCCAGCTATTCCCCTCTCAATCATCCACTCCACTCCACCCCAGGGCCCCTTCGGAGATACTTTCCCACCAGCCCTTCCTGGAAAGTGGGAACCAAGACCAGCAATAGAATCTGAGTGAAAGTAGGAAGCCCTTTACTCAGAACTTGTTTAAAAACTTTAAGATGGAAATAGCAGAGCATGAAACCCAGGTTGGGACCCTTGTGGCTGGCCTTGGTGGTGGGAACGTTGGTGGCACAGGTGTCCCTCACAGTGGCAGGGCCTTACCTGTCCTGGCGGTGTTTCGTGGCCAGAGCCCGGTGCAGCTCCTCTATTACGCGACTGGGTGGCAGTGGCCGGTGGATGGTGGTGAGAGGTGGGGACCCTGTGGGCGTGGACAGCTGTCCTCGGAGGGGTGAGTCAGTGCTCTTCCCGCTGGGGCCTTGGAAGAGCGCAGCTTGGCCTGGACCTGGGGACAGCCCACAGGCATGTGAGTCTCCTCAGCACAAGACCTTGCGGAGAGAAGGGAGCAGAGGCACAGAGGATGCGCCCCTGCTGCCCGTGTTGACCCCCACATGGATGTGGAGAGGGGCCTGCTCCGGAGCTAGTGGCCAGGGCATGTGTCCGTCAGTTCCCGCCACCTTGAGTGCCACAGAGCTCAGAGCTGACATCCTCCCTGCAAGGTTCTGAGCACAGACAGCCCAGCCTCCGCCACTGTTCCGCTAGTGGTCAGCTTCCTGAAGCTGCGCTTGCTTGGTGTGGGGTCCCGGAGCCTCTCTTGGGCCTTCAGGCCTCCTTCAGCCTGCACAGCCCAAGGCCTGTTTCCGTGCCTGCCCGTAGCATCACCTCTCCCTTTCCTGTGCACTCCCACTAGCTCCTAGTCCTGGGGTACCACACTGTGAAGCCTGAACTGCTTTCCCTTCCTCTGGTGCAATCCTCCTCCCTCTGGGACTTGGCCCACGACCCATCTTTGACTGGAGCCCCGGTACTGAGGGAGGACGCCTGAGGCCTGCCCCACACCTCTTCCCCTCAGCGGGCTCCGTTACCCTGCTGAGGCTGCTCCCTGCCCCGAGGAGTCTGTGCCGCCACAGTCCTGCCCGGCCCTGGCTGCGGCGTCCCAGCCCTGGCTTCAGAAGTTCATGCCACAGACATTTATGTACATGAGGCGACGTGAAGCCAACTCCAGTACACGCATGGGCCGGCCACAGCGAGGCCTCGCTTCTTCCTTCCACAAGTCCTCCCCGCGTGGGCTGAAACCCACCCGGGCGAGAGGGGCTTGTCTTGCAGCCATGACCGCTGCCCTAGGACCTCAGCGTCAGCCTGTCTGTTACACGGGCCCGGGCTTTCCAGGGGCTCCATACTCACACAGGGCAATTGCAACAAATCAACTTGTTTAAAAGCCCAACAGGAAGAGAAGGGGCTTGAAGCTGCCTTCGTTCTGTGCAACACTGAACTGCACAATCCTGATCCAAGCCTGGATTACTAACAGCACTCATTAGAAAGTATATCCCTGTGGGGCCGGGGAGATGCATCAGTGGAATAAGCGCTTCCCTGGCAAGCGCCAGGGCCTGAGTTCAATCCCCAGTTCTGCCAAAAAAATTTTAAAAAAAGAAAGTATATCCTCAAAACAGAAGGGACACTGCAAGCCCTACTGAGGGTTTCCATGGTGTAGCTTTCTTGGTGAGTGACTGCTTTTGCCAGGCAAAGTCAGGTCAGGAGCTCAGAGCCCATGCCCTGCCCGAACAGGGGTGCCAGATAGGGGCTAGGCAGACAGAAAGAGGACAGAAGTAATTCACAGAGACAGAGAGAGAGGGAGGAGGAGTGTGACAGGAAGAGAGAGGAGAGAGAGGAGACAGAGACAGTGAGAAGAGAGAGAAGAGAGAGAGCAGAGAGAGAGAGAGGAGAGACAGAGGAGAGGGGAGAGGAGCAGAGGAGAGAGCAGAGGAGAGAAAGAGGAGAGCGAGGAGAGGGGAGAGAGAGCAGAGAGAGAGAGAGCGAGAGAGAACGAGAGAGAGAGCGAGAGAGAGCGAGAGCGCGCGAGCGAGAGACACAGCAAGCGTGCAAGCATGTCACACGAGGGGGCGGCACTCAGCTCAGCCAAGCTGGCACTTGAGCTAAGGGTGCGCCAGGTAAGCAGCTTTGCAGCTGGGCGCACGCTCTCCCGGGGGAGGAGGAAGCTGAGGTTCAGGGCCTGCCCACTGGCTACTGTCTAGAGGCCCAGGGCCCAAGCAGACTGACACTGGCCACCGGGCAGGGAAGGCTGGTGTGAGGGCACAGTCATCCGGAAGGGGGCCAGCAGGTGAGAGCCCTGGGGAGCCAAGGCCTTGACAATGGACGGGAGAGGAAGGAGTGAGGACAGCAGTCGCGCGAGGAGCACCTCCTGCCTGGGAGTGCCGCAGACACGAGGACTTTCCCAAGTAAAGAGGAGCCTGGGAGCAGACCTCCACCAGCGCCTCTGTGGGCAGCACCTTGTTCTCGGGCTTCCCACCTGCACGGCCCTGAGAAGGGGAGCTGCTGCCGCTTCTCACGGACCTGTTTCTTTTGCCCCTGCACCTCAGGTGGAGGAAACAGGCACCTGCTGCCAAAGTCCAAGTCCCTGAGCAGGTCCTGGGCCGGCTTTCGCTTCCCTGCTGCCATCTAAGGGCGACAGGTGGAAGTGAACGCCTCTGGGGAGGAAAGGAAGCAGTGGAAACAGGCAGCGGGGCGGTGAGGAGCCCAGCTCAGAGCCCAGCTCGGAGCAGCCCTGAAAAATCCATCTGCTGACCGATCACACCCCGTGTCCTTGAGATCCTCCGAGGGAGGGAGGGAGGGTGGGAATCAGAGGTCCTGCCTGGCAGGCTGGGGACAGACCTGGGGATCCTGAGTGAGGGGCATGAAAAAAGGGAGAATCTCGGAGAGAAAGGAGAATCCCGAGCTGGGGGTTGGGGGCTGAGCCTCCCACGCAGGACAGCCCCGAGAGCTGCCTGCGCTGTGCGCTGCGAAGGTGGAGCTGAGCAAGCCAGAGGAAAGCCAGGCCAATGCAGCCTGGCCAAAGCGAGTGCGAGTCTTGTTCTGGCTTTTGGTGGCTGTAACGGAGTGGGCATCACCAAGACAGTAACATCGCACGCGGCATGGTGTGGCCTCGGCAGTCTTCCTCGCCTCGGGTGCTGTGTCACCCAGAGATCATATTCAGGCTCACTTCCGGAAGGGAAAGCAGAGAAAGCTCGGAGCACACCTCCTGTCTGGAGCCCCCTGCTCCCTGCACTGGGGAGCACCTGCTGCCTGCCAGAGCTGAGGGCGCCCTCGGGAGTGGAGAGAGCACTCCAGGACAAGGCGTGGCGACGTGCCCCCAGGCCTGGGGTGGCTGTGTCAATCACAGACGGGGTGTAACAGCACCGTTCACTGATCTGAGCCTGATGTCAGGACCAGGTGCCAGCAGGGAGGGCTGACCTCCCCGGGCCTCTTCCCCCTTCTGGGGCTGCCCGGCAATGCACAGGGGCAATGGGGCTGCCCCTGGCCCACAGCTGCTTCCCTCGGGCCTCTGCCTCCATCCCCACTTGCTCTTGCCATCCTGGACTTCCATAGGGACATCTGCCTTAGATCCAGGCTGCCCCACCGCCAGCCAGGCCAGCATGACCCAGGCTGCGTGGATGAGGCGGGCCCCTCTGCCTGCCCGGAAGTACCCCCATCCAGCCTCCACCTGAGGTCTGGCGCTCAGTAAGCTCATGGCAAAGAGAATCAGGCAGGCAGTGACTGGAGAGAGGGGAACAGGCAAAAAGAACTCTCCTGGAGAGACACAGAACCAGCAGACAGACAGACAGACACACGAGGGTCCTGACAGGAAGAGCCCCTCGTAGACACTGGCTGCACCCCGGGGCTGGGGGCTGGCAGATGCTGCCTCTGAGACCTGCAGAGACATGGCCCCAGGCACCAGGGAAGCCCAGGTGGTGTGCGGTGGGCAACCCTAGGCCACCTGGAAGTCTTCCCAGGGGGGCACCCCTTCCCAGAACTCCAAGGACAGAAGCAAGAGGTGAGAACCAGCCCAGAGTGGGAGCTGAAGCAGGACTGGTTGAGGGAAGGAAGGATGGAGGGAGAGAAGGAAGAGGAGGAAGGAAGAACTCAAGGAAGAGAGGGAGACAGGGAGAGAGGGAGGGGACAGAGGGAGTGGAGGGAGGGCAGGGATGAGGCAGGAAGCAACACAGACCCACCTGCGCCCGTCTTCGTGGCTTTGCAGCTGGCCTTGGGTGGGGGCGCGGGCAGCTGTGGGGGGCTGGGGAGCTGGCCCAGGCAGTGCTCCAGGGGTCCAGGAGGGCTGTCCAAAGAGCCAGACCCAGCCAAGGCCGGAGGCGGCCCATCAGGGCTGGGCAGGAGGTTGCCGGCGGTGTTGGCCTCATCCCCACTGGATGCAGAAGGCAACTTGGCTAGTGGAGAAGGAGGCAAACAGAGTGTTCAGAGAGGCAGGCCGAGAGGCAGGGCAGGCAGCAGGGCCCTCTCAGCAGGTCAGGAGAGCCATCAGACACAGAAGCTGGAAATGGCCCGGTCATGGGTGGCCCTGTCCCCAGCTTCACCAGCAGCCCTCATGACAGGCCCTGGAGCCAGACAGCCCTGGGCTCAGTTGCCTCCATACCTGCTCCGAGGTCTTGTTTAGGATCCTGAGCCTCTCTGGGCCTCTGTGTGCATATGTGTGACCCTGTACTAACCGTGGGAGCCCTCAGCGGAGACCCCACCATAGCAGGGCATTTGCAGCTTGGGGTTCCAGCACTCTTGCCTCCTACTGGCCTAGTGAGGGGTGGGGGCAGGAAGGAGTTTCCAGGAAAAGCCTGCCATCCCAGAGGCCTTGCCTCTCCCCATGCCCCTACTTCTAGTCGCCTGTGCTTCCTGGCTCCCTCCTGTCACTCAGCTTCACCTGCAGCTTTGGGGTGGGGGGGCATGAAGCCATCAGATTGCAGCAGGCCCTCTCCAACTAAAGCCCAAGGCGCTGTCCCCCAGCCCCGGGGGAGGGGCCGTCCCCATGACAGGCCCACCCAGCTTCTACGCTCTTTCCTTAAGCACACTCTGCCTCGCGGACAATCTGTAGGGCATCGGGAGGCAATGGTCCTGGCTCCCAACTGGACGGGACTACCCTTCCCTGGTCGCATTCTCCACAGCCCACCATGAAGTCACCAGACGGACTCCTCCACTGTACCCCTCTGTCGACTTGCGTTGTCCTGTCCACAGAAGGCTCTGTGTGCTCCCCCCCACCACACTCCTCAGAAATGCCTGCCTGGGCCAACGACCACTCTGTACTCCGCCGAGACCCCAGCCATAGCTCAGCCCTACGTTGCCTCCCTCCTCGCCAAAGCCACTCTCCGGGGCAGGATCAGCAGGCCTGCTGTAGCTAGCCAGATGGCCACTGTCCTCAGCGGGGAATGAGCGGGCTTTGCCGCAGAGGCAGGCTTTCTGCTGCAGAAATGCCGGGTATCAGAACTGTAATCCAGAACTGCAATCAGCAAAGCTACCTGGCTTCTTACTGTGGCCACCGTTACGGCTTGGAGGGCCCAGGGCAGGGCGGCACGGCATGTGGTACCGGGGATCGAATCCAGGTTCTTGCACTTGCCAGGCAGTCACTTAGAATGCTGAGCTATCTCACCAGCCCCAAGCTCTTTTTGTGTGTGTGTGTGTGTATTTTTTTAGGAAAGGGTCTACAGGGTCTATAGGATCTCACTATGTAGACTGGACTCATTGTGATCTGCTTACTTACAGCCTCCCAAGAGCTGGGATTACAGGTGGGTGCCACTACACCCATTCTCAATTGCAATCTCAGTGCGCCCCCAGAGTCAGGCCAGTATGGCCGGGAATTGAACCCGGGCTGCTACGCCTGCTTGCAGGTGCTTTAATCTGCTAAGCTATTTGGCCAGCCCTCTCCAGCCCCAAGCTTTAGTTTTATTTCATTCCAATTAACCTAGAGCCATGTGGCTGGGACCACTGTACTGCACAGCGTGTCAGGATGCTGGGATGGAGTTGAGTCCCAGTGCTACCAGGGCAGCAACCAGGAGAGTGCGGAACAGCTCTGGACACACGGAGGACACCTAGCACTGTCTCCCTGGGCACTGTGCAGCTGCCCAGAGCAGAACATGGTGCCCAGGCAGGCACAGGCCACAGGCAGGATGCGAGCTGGAGCCCACAGGCTGAGAGCACCCATGTGGGGCCTTGGAAGCAGCTCATTCCAGAAGCAGAGCAAAGGCTCCTGTCTCCCACTTGGTCTAGTTTGGGTCACAGAACGTGACTAAGGCACACAACATCTCTGCCACTCGTGTGCTGTGTGGCCTTGGACAAATGACTTCACCTCTCTGAACTCATTTTATTTTTAAAAATGGGCTTCGTATAAGATCATATAGAAAATGTTCTTCTCAGAGGGCAGTAGACACCACTGTAAAAAGCCAGTGTTCTGCCTCAGTGCAGAATGTCACCTGCAAGGGCATCGCAAGGTCCCCTGGGCCCTGCCCAAGGTCTAGCAGAGAAGCCAGGCCCAGGACAGGCACTTGAATGGCACGTTTCTTTGTAAGACTGCAGGTAGGCGATGTCTATTACAACATGACCTACGGCACACAGGGACTGGGCTCAGGTGTGAGCAGCTCCCCTGGGCTCCGAGGCACGGAATGTGGGAATTAAGTGAGAGACAACTGCTGATCCCCAAGGCTCTGAGGAGGCCTCCCCAGGTCCTCAGGTGCCAAGTGTCACCGTGCAGTGCCGTCCTCATTATGCAATGACCCAGGCCCACACAGGAGGACAGAAGCTGACAACACAGTGCTTGGCTCCAAAGACCATGCCCGTGACCTTCCCCGTGGCGCTGCCAACCCACCTGAGGGGCCAGGCCAGCAGCACAGATGGGATGCCCTACTGTGTGCCGCGGAGTCTGAGTGGGACAGGCCCGGGTGCCTTGGCTGGAAAGTTGTCCAGCTGGACTTTTGTGGATTTTTTTAAAATGTCTTTAAAACCTTTTAAGTCATGGGTTTGCAAATATTTTAAAGTGTGAGTTTAATGCCTATGTATTAAAGTACAATCAGTCTTTCAGGAAGGGACTCCATAAGGCAGGCTTCTCAATGTAGATGCAAACTTCCCGGGGCCAGGTCCCAGGGCTGAGGTGGGTATGAGACCTCAGATGTCCCAGCTGAACTGCAAGCTGTAAGGGTCCCACACCCCGGCAGACATGCTCTGTGACACTGCGCGCTAAGGCACCGCTTTCCACAGCCACGCCTGTCCCTGAGGATGATGACAGCAATGGACATTGCTCACAAATGCTTTCTGAGAGCTGTTGTGCGTTAGGGCTGGGCTAATTGCTGCCCAGAGGTCAGCTAACTCAATGTGAGTGACCTGAGAGGGTGACTTGACGACACCCTCACTATACCTGCTGGAACAGGATCAGGGGTTAAGTAACTTGTCTACAGGCATGCAGATTAGCCAGGAGTCCAGTCACCTTCACTCCCAGACCCACCTGGTGTCAGATGTGCTGCTGCCCTTGAGGCCCCGTCTCTGCACATTTGGGAGCTCCCTGGCATGTGGCCCCCCTCTCCTCACCCAAGAACTTCTGTGTTGGACTCTGCACAGGGTAACTGAGTGCCTTCAGGTTCAGCACTTAGGACAGCGCCCACAGTACTTGGAGTAGCTAAAGCACTCAGGGAAGCACCTGCAGCACCCAGGAGGACAGCACCTAGGGAGGCCCCCACAGCACCTGGGAGACCCCCACAGCACCTAGGGAGGCCCCCACAGCACCTTACAACCCGGGCAGCCAGGGTGGCTCGCTTCACCAGCAGTGCCATGCCCACTACTGAATCAGCTGAATGTGTCCTGAAGGAACACGCTAGTCTTTGTTAGAAGCTGAAAGAAGCTAGGCTGGGGCTCCTTTCTTAGAGAGTGTGGGCATTCCTCTGTACTTGCGATGCTTTTACTTGACTCTACTTCCTTAAAAGAACTTACACCTTCATTACAATTTATTTGAGAGAAAAAGGAAATCTCTCCCACACTAAGCATGTGCTTAGGCAAGCGCAGGGGCCGGGTTCAACCCCCAGCACCACTTGCTGTGCTGGCCCTGCCTCCAGGCGCACCGAGCCACCCACCAAGCCGAGAGTGGTGGTGCGCACCTGCAGTCGCAGTGCTGGGGAGGCTGAAAACAGGAGGATCACTATGAGTCTGGACTATGTAGAGACCCTGTACCAAATACAGAGGGGGCGGGAGTGAGAGCGAAGCACCGTGCAGTTGCAATGCTTTCTCACCATGGTATACAGACAGGGCGAGGTCAGCCCGTGGCTCTAGGCATCAAGACCCACACAGGAAGCTCCACGTGCACAGCCAGGGGATGGGGGAGGCCGTGTCCCTGTCCTGCCCACCTGCATCCGGCCTCTGCTCCAGCTAACTCCATTGTGCTCCACCCTCAGGACCCAGTCTCCTCTTTCTGTCCAACGTAGCTCTGCCACACACAGCCAAAGCCCCTGTCCTTCCTGCTCCTTGGCCATCTGAGGCTACCCAGCAACCTGTGGAAACAGTCCCACTAGCACAAGCCACAGCCTCTTGCCTGCACGCACAGCAAGGACAGGGCTGCCTGCTGGCATTGGAGGCCCCTGGACCCCAGAGTCGAGTGGCTCATCTCTGAATCCTTCCCAGCCTCTCTCACCCCAGGCCTGTGCTGTGCCCATCCTGGGCACCCTCCACTTGCTCTCCCTGGGCAGCCCCTGCCACCTTGCAGGCCTAACCGCAACAGCAGTCTCCATACAGCCACGGCCTTGCACACAGACTCGGTCCCAAGGCCCTCCCAAGCCCAGAATTTGGGGGAGTGACAGGCTGAGGACACACTGACCAGAGCAACAGCCTCCCTCCTAGCACTGTGAAGACAGTCCAACACTAAGCGAGGGCCCAGGGTGCTCATAGATACCCAAAGGCACAAGGTTCAGCATAAGGGTGGGGTGTCCCTGGGGCTGCCATTAGAAACACAACAGCTGTCCCACCTTGAGGGCAGCTTCCAGGGGCTTAATGGGACACAAGCAAGAGTCAGGATTCTCTCTGGAGCTGCAGCTGTCAGTCCCCATGTTGTCCCCTAGCTAAGGGAGTGGGGTGGGCTTGGCCATTGTGGGCAGGTGGAGCAGGACCAGGGCAGCCACATGTAGGTGGTACAGGGAGGCTGTGGGTAGACAGACAGCGATGGATGGACAGCCTTGGGAGAGGTCAGTGTGGCGCTGCCCGGGCAGGGGAGGGCACAGAACCCAACCCACTGCAAGCACAAGACCAGGGCATTGAATCTGCAGCCTGGCTCCCTGGATAGTCAAGGCATGCGCGTCCAGCGCCACACTTGCACGGCATAGCCACAGCTAGAGCTTTCAGGAGGAGACAAGCTCCTGGCTTGATGGATTGTTCCCTAGAAGATGGACTAAAGTCCCTCCCAGTAGGCAGCAGGGCGGGTACTGCAAAGCCCCACAGGCGCTTGTGGGTTTCTGCTTTTCCTCTCCACCCTTCTCCTCCCTCCCCTTCCACACGACTGGCAAGAGCCCTGGCCTGCTCTATTAAGACAGTGACCCGACTGCCCCCAGCAAGAGCCCCTCAATGCTGCAGCCCCCGTGCTAAGTTCCCCCAGGCAATCCTGACGGGGCCCTGGAGCTTCTCCCATGTAACAGGGCACAAGGCCGATCTGCTGGGCATGAGGGTGAGAAGAGCTCTGAGAGCCACCGTCCCATTTGCTGGGCATGCAGGGCCCTCTGCGTGCTCGGGGAAGGCCAGCTGCAGTGGGACCCAGCTGCTGGGAAGCTCCCTACCCCATTCCCCACCCCCCTGAATCTTCCCTGGGTGTGTCCCCTTGGGGACTTTCTAACCTAGAGGGTCCCAGTGAACATGCAAAGACGTCCTGGGGGTGGCTCACAGCTGGAAGTCCCAGTGAGCCCATTAGCACTCACTAATCAGCTGCACCCGAGTGATTTGGGATGGGACAAGGCCAGAGCTCCACAGAGTGGGGCAGGGCCATGAGTGCCTGTGAGCTGCTGTCTGAGTCCAAAGCAGCAGGCATGGTTCCCGCCCAGGTCCTGGGCCCTCAGCCCACAGGGTGTCCACCAGTACCTGCGTCATCCGTATGGGTGTCTGAGGACAGTGGCTCATCCAGGGAAGCCTGGTTTGTCCCGGTGGCAGAGGGGTTTCCTGGCTGGACATCATCTGAAGTCAGGGCCTCCTGCTTGGGGGTGGACGGTTCGCTCTGCGTCGACCGGGGGCCTCCACCAGGGCTGCACACCTTGCTCTCAGCATCTGCAAGGACGCACTGTGGTCAGCGGGGCCAACATCTGTGGGGCACCCTGCCAGGCCCTGGGGGGCAGCAGGCCCCACCCTACCTTTCTGGCTGCCTGTGGTCCCGGATGAGTGCAGGGCACATCGAGGCACCGGTGTGCACATGTGGCACACCAAGGTCCCTGGCTTTTGCTACGCAGCTTATGCTGCTCCTGCAGAGCCTGGACGCTGTCCAACACCCACCCTCTCCCTAGGTCCCTCCAGCCCCTCCCTGTCTCCCAGTCTGCTTCTGTCCCTGGGACCTCAGAAGGTTGCACAATGAAGACAGTGGCTTCTCAGGGGCTCACGGGGCCCCTGCTGCTCCCTCTTGTGGATGGGCCAGGTGGCTGCCAAGGATGACAGCACGTGGAGCAGGGCCAGGGCCACCCACACAGGTGGCTGCAGCACTGACTGCCAGGTGCCTCGAGGTGCTGGGCCCATTGGCCACACGATGCTGTGGCAGTGGATGGCACTTTTGTGGCAGTGCCCTCCATTAGTCTCCTGACCAGGGCAACACAGAAGGACATGAGAGCCGGCACACTGGTGGGGGAACGGGGGGTGGGCCCTGCCTCACCTGTCCTGACACAGGAGCTGCCCACAGCCACTGCTGCTCTTAATGACAACTGCTTCTCCACCAGCATTGCACAGTAACAGCAGGAGCAAGGTGGTCAGGCCCAGAGGCCTCCTGCAAGGCCTGTACTCACCTGCAGACCTGGCAGCTACCTGGGGCTGCCGCCAAGTGGCCCTGCATGGCTTTTTGAGCTGTGCTCAAAGCCGCAGCCTAGAATCATGCTCAATGAGAAGTTACAGTTCCCAAAATAGCCTTGGTGGCAGGGCTGTTGCTAGGAAACGCTGGCTGGAGCCCGGGCAGGGTCTCGTGCCCTGCTACTCTCACTGTATGGCCAGCGGCCTCCCTCTGGGTCTCTCTGTGCACTGCCCTTGTCCTCTGACAAAGCGTGCCTGTGTCATTGTGAGAGGGTCCACCACAAGCACCCACAGATGCACACATGCATGCGTGTACAGTGGAAGCAAGTGTACACAGCACGCGGGATTGTGCACGTGCATGTGTGCAACTGTGTGCACACACATGGAGGGCCCCGGTCCCCTGCCACATGGAACCCAGACTGGACTTGTCACTGTGCAATTTTCCAAGCAGCCATGTGACTCCCAGGCCACTGAACACAGCACCAGGGCAGTAACGCTCTCTCTCTCTCTCTCTTTTTTTAATATAGCGGCAAATGAAATTCTTTAAATTCTTTAAGAAAACGCCAGGTTGATGCACACAGGGACACTAGGGAAAGTCATCCAGGGACGGGAACAGCGTCTGCAGAGCAGATGCATGCAGCCTCCAGCCTCGCCTAGAGTGCCGGGCTGAGGAGGTGGAGGGGCTGAGGGTGCCGGCGTCCTGCATGCCCAGGGCCCTGCTCTGTTCCTCCTGGTGGTCACGGAGTCTCAGATGGGGTACAGAGCGCAACGTGGGCAGGTGCAGTTGAAAGCCCGGCCACCGTGCAGGCAGACTCAATGAGGCGGCCGGCCACAGGGGGGCGCCCACGGCTGCAGATTGGCCTCACCTTCCGGGAGAAGGCAGCGCTGAGCCCTGATTGACTAAGGCTGGCGCCCAGAAAGGAGCCTCATAGTTACCACCTGGGGACAGGAGCACCAGCCCCCGCAGGAGCGCCCAGTCCTCACTTCCCATGCCGCAGCACCTGTGCCCAGCAACAACACCAGTACTGCCCGTGCACCCTGGCACTGTAGGGCCCCCGAGAAGCAGGCCCTGGAGCCTCTTTCTCCCTGCCTTGACCACAGACTGCAGATGCCCCTGGCCCTTCCCCTGGGGCAGCCTAGGCGCCCACCCTGGCCATGCCTGGGGCGGGGAAGCAAGCGGAAGGCAGCGCACACCTCAGCCTCCGCCCTGCCCTCACCTCATCCCGGGCCCTGGGCCCTGCCACGCTCCGCCCTGAGGCCTCACAGGCTCACACGGCTTCCTGGGCTGGAAGCTGGTCCTCACTCCCTGGAGGATGTGTCCCTGCAGGAAGCGGAGTCAGCTGGACCAGCTCGCCAGGCTCTGGTGCTGGGGCAGGGGCCGCCCCAGAGTGCTCATCACAGTGTTTGGTTTGGGTCCCTGTCAAGCTTGCAGCTGTCGCTCAGTGGTACAGCACTCACCTGGCATGCCGGAGGTGCTCAGTGCCGACCTCAGCACCAGGGAAAAAGGTCCCGGAGACGCAAGGGAGCAGCGAACTTGGATAACCATGCTGCGTGCTGCCCGCCCGCGTGGATCCCACATGCACCCCCCAGACCCATCAGCCAAGACCTCACGCGTGCTTCTGGCGCTCGAGGCCCTCCGCACAGCCCCACCCTCATCTTCCTCGTGATTCCGCTCTGATTTGTGGGACTGCGCACGCGCGTTCCCAGCGAGAGGGCATTCTGGGAGAACCGTGTTTCGCTCGCCGGAACCCTCAGCAGCTAATGCAGAACCTGCGCATGGGGGGTACTCGGTGAGAACCCGCTGCGTCATCCAATGGGCGCAAGCGCAGCCACTCAGGCTCCCAGTTCTTGCTGCTGAGCAGGAGAGAAAGAGCAATGAAGGGAGGGGCAGGCACGCTGCGGCCGGGGCCCAGGCCAGCCTGGCACCTGCTTGTGCAGCTCCGGCTAAGGATGGAGTTTACCTCATCAATGCTTGGGGCAGTGGGGGGAGGGGGGCGATGTAAAACTTGCTGACTCATAAAGATTACTTCAAATTCAAATATCTGCATCTATAAATAAAGCTCTTTCACGCAGCCAGGCCTGCTCATTCACGCAAGCCTAGGGCTGCTCTGCCCGGCCACAGCAGCCAGGAGTGGTAGCCCACCCTGGCCATGGGTTTTTCCTTCCACACCCAGGCGAGAGTTTAAGCCCCTAAAACAGGTTGGTGATATTATGGGAGTCCACATTTAATGTGACCACAGGACACAGAGGGGGCCAATCCAGAGGGAGAAGAGAATCAGATAATGCCATCAGGTGGAGCCCTGGGGCAGAACAAGGGTCGGGCACGAGAACAGGCAGACACAGGGACCTGGGCAGGCTTGCTCTCTGCCTGCCCAGCCACCTGGGGACTCTGTGGGCAGGAAGGCCGTCGCCAGGACAGAGCGATGACAGCTCCATGCCCTTCACCCTGTTGGCTTTGCAAGTCAGCCCACCACAGAAATTTCTTTATGGGGATGAGAAGCTGACCGGTTCAGAGCTCCCAAAGCCTATTTGCCATCAGACCTTTGTCGCCACCTGTGGCCAGCTCTAAAGCCATGCTGTAAGCTAGGAGCATGTGGTCGCCGCAGCAAGTACATGAAGGCTGGAAAGGAAGGTCCACCACTCCACCGGCACCAGCCTGACACTGGTCCCTGGGCCTCTGTTCTGGTGGCACCCAGAAGTATCTTACAGAGTTGAAAAAAGCCAAACTACAATCCTAGCAGTTTTCTAATTTAATGATTCTAACTTCTACTTCAGTTTTGACAAGAATCAAATCTACATCCCTTTTTCCTCCTTACTCATCAAAAAGAACACTTTCTAGGTAGGCTCTAGCATTGTTTCTGTGTCCTTCTCCTACTCCCTAAGACTGAAAATAAAGCTTGCTGGCAGCATGATCAAGATGCCAAGGCTCAGGCCTCTTGGGCCCTAGTGAAATTAAAATAATCCAGATTTCTGTCTCAGCAGTGACATTCCACATATCCATGTCAGAGCAGTGTCATATGCCCAGATGCCACAGGACCTCAGGCTGAGCTTGCCTTTTACACGGACTGTCTTCCTCATGGTACTAGACAGTTGCCCATGGAGGATTCCCCCCTCTTGAAGGTAAAGGAGAGAAACTAGGGCAGAGGCCGTGGACCACACCTGGGATTACGAGCTACAGGCCTGGGCATCCAAGATCTGAATGCATTGCGCTCACAGGCTGTGTCCTAATTCTCAACCGTTGGGCGACATTGCAAAGACACCAGGGCTACTTCAGCTGCAGAGGAGACGGGAACCGATGTTTCTGAATCTGCAGGGAACTGGCCCACAAGGCCAGAAGCCACATTTCAGGAGCTTGGTCCAGCTCCAGACACTTTGAAGACCTGGCAGTAGGATCTTTTGAAGGCCCTACTCCCCCCTGAATTTAAGATCTCTGAGAACCAGGCAACGTGCAGGGTGGGCGTCAGGACCCGAGTCCCCTGCCCCACAAGACTGGAAGCCACAGCAGAAACAGGAAGATGCTGTCAGGTCCACTGTGCTGGTGATGATGGCCAGCTGCAGTCCACTGAGAAGGCAGTGGACACTGTGAGCCTGGACTTGCTGCGCACACAGGACCAGGGTCTAGCCCTGTCTCTGCAGTTACTCCCAGTTGTCCCCACACTCCCTGCCTGGAAACTGCACCCTGTGCTGTCACAGGAGTGCTAGGAATTTGTTGTTGGCAGAAGTCAAATTAATTTTCCCAAATCATGCATTAAAATGTGAATATGGAAAAAAATGATGTCTCCAACACCACCGCTACCATCTTGGAGGGAGGCGCAAGTGCAGGCTGTTGGACGCTCCCAGTAGAGAGCTGCACCCAGTGCTCCTGACGGGCGCCCTGGCCCTCACTCTGCTGTGGCGCTTCCGACTCAGGCTCAGCATTACTGCCCCAACCTGAGGGCTGCGAAGCGTCCGGCCCAGCCTGGCTGCAGCAGCCTCTGAGCTCTACCTCGCCCCGTGTGGGCCCCACTTACCCGGCTCCATCACCTCCAGCAGCCCCTGCTTGATGAGCTCCTCCCGGCCTTGCCTGCCAGCCATCTTCCTCTCCAGAGCTGTGGACAAGGACACCAGGTGAGTCAGCCTCGTGCCCAGGCAGTCGTACCCTGCTGGCCTGGGGGTTCCTAGCCCCCCCACTCCATGGGCTGTCAAGCCACATGCATTGAAACAGCCAAAGCGCAGCAGGCTCATTGGTGCCTGGAGTGCTCACTGTGAGATCTCCTCCATAGGGGTCGGTGGGAGCGTAGCCCCCTCCCACTACTCCTGCCCCCTTTCTAGCCTGCACTGACCAGCATGGCTGCATCCACCTCTAACCCCAGTGCCCAGGGACACCCGGCTGCAGCTCTGAGCCCTTGCTAACTACTTCCCTACCTCCCCATCTCCCCCCACTGAGTTCTGGGCATCTCTCCCCTGCGAGGTCTCCACTGACTGCAGGCAACAGCACCCATAAGTCATACACAGACAGTGTCACCAGCTCCATCCGCCCACATCGGGTCCACCCCTACTTCAGAGTAGCCCACCTTGCCCCTCCCTCACCATGGGCAGGGGCGCTTGCTTCCCAGTCTCCTTGTACAGGTGAACCCATCTCCAAATGCAAAGCTGAGGACGCCTTGGGGCCTGCTTGGCAGGGCACAGTGTCCACTCTCAAGGCAGTGCCCAACGCCGCCCACTCTCCCCACACACCCCAGACACCCAGGGCTCCCCAGCTGAGCTGGAGCTCCAGTGGAGGAGGCAGTACCACTCTGAAGAAGGGGCATTTGTGAATTTACTGAGATATTTGTTGAGTCCCTACTTCACGGCGCAGGCCGAGTTAGGTGCCAGGCAGCCCCTGGGGCGGGGCCTGGCTCTCCTCCTTCATGCCTGGAGGCATAGCGAAGTCCTCAGCAATGAGGCTTTATTTGTTCTCACTCTTGGCAGACAGAGTGTGTCAGTTGACTTCTTGGGTGGTGAAGACATCCTATGAAGTGTGGCCCAAAGTGTGGCCTGAACCTGCGGCTGCCAGCAGCCACCACCCCCGCTCTCAGGGCCTGCTGTGGGCACAGAGGCTTTGTCTCGGACATCGCTGCTGCCCTGGAGTCTGTACCTCTTCTCAGCTGGGAGGCAATGGGACCCTGTGGCCTGCAGAAGCAGCAGCCTTCTGTCCCGCCTGTCCCCGAGACCCAGGACTAAGCCACAGGACCAGCGCTAATTGCTTCTAGGCCCAGCCAACAGAGGAGCAGCCCAGTGGGGAGGCCCCGGCACCTGAGAGGCTCAGCTCCCCCCAGCCCCGCTCCTTGGGGCGCTCCGCCTTCCCAGGCACCTGTGCTCAACCAGCCCGGTGAGTTCTTCCATCTCAGGCCATTTCCCCATCCCCCAGGGGGACGGGCCACATGAGATCGCTGTCCCTGCAGCAGGTGCACGCACAGCAGATGCCACCAGCAGCTTCCAGCCCGACACTGACTGTCATGGGCTCTTGCATTCTGGAGGCCTCCACCCCTCTGGGCGTCCACCCGGCACAAGGTGTGGTCTCACGGCTGCACCTCCTGGAGTGCATTCCGAGGAGGCAGGGGCAACGGGACCACTGGCCGCAACCCGATCTCCCACAGAGCGGGGACTGGCAGGGTATAAGGAAGCAGCCTCCTGCGTGAGTGTCACCCCTTCTGGATCCCTGAGGCTTGTGGACCCAGATGGAGTTAGGACCTGGGAGCAGGCTCCATGTCTGTCCCCCAGGGAGAGAAGCCGTGACCCTCAGAATCTACCCAGCGCCTGTAGGAATAGTGGAACCTGGGCCAGCTGTGGCCGGGCCTCGGGGAAGACCTGGCCCCTGCCTCTGCAGTGAGGGTCTGCACAGGGCAGGGTGAGGGCCATGGTTTCTCCAGTGCGCTGAGTGCTTGCTGCCGAGTATTTGGCTGGTGAGTTTGCTACACTCAGTGTCACAGCCCCGCCTGGCCCTGTGCTGTCAGAACCTGTGAGAGCAAGGGCGGGTGACGTGGGCACCCTTGGGGCTGAGCAGAAGGACCCTGTGCGGAGCCTGCACTGAGCCGGCCCCTCCCAGTGGGACCCGGAGGGTCCAGGGCCCCTGCCACTCCTGCCTTCAGGTCCCCATGTGACCCTCAGTGTGGGTTATGTGGTGGTGGTGCTGTGCACAGCCCAGCCTGGTGGCCAGTGGAGGGAGGTGATCCAAGGGCCGCTGGCAGCTCTGGTCCTAGGCAGCCTCAGAGCTGTCAGCAGCACAGGGCACACCTGGGCCCCAGCGCCACCCTTGCTTCCTGGGACAGGAGCTCACCCGACGTCGTCTGCTTCAGTTTTTCGTTTTTCTTTTTCCTCCATTTCCAGGGCTTGAAGATCCTGCCCAACGTGGCCAGCTTGCTGTTCCTCCTCACGGGGGGAGTTCGGATCCCTGAGACCAGATACTCGGAGCGCACAGCGGGGGTTCGGTCCATCTCATCTGCAGGATGAGAGCCAAGGGAAGGTCACGGGTGATGGCCGGGCTACCTGGCTCCAGGGACAGGCGAGCCCCTTACCCCTGGAGCCCAGAGCCCAGAGCCAAGCAGGGTCCTTGGAGTGGGGGGTGTTTGGGGCTCCTCTGAGCAGCGTGCCCTGTGTGGGACCCACCTGCTGAGCTTCCCTGTGGGATTTGGGGTCTTTCTATCTCCTGGTCCTGCCCCAGGACCTCTGCTCATCGGTGCCTGCATGCTGTCTGCTCTTCTTCCAGCTTTTCTGCCTCCACAAACACCTGCTCAACTACTTGCTTGCTCCTCCAGGAAGACCCTGCCTGCCCCAGGCAGAGGCAGGCCCTTTTCAGGCCATCAGTGTGGGCATCCTGGGCCCTGCCCAGCTCTAGAGGGCAAGGGCAGGCATGGCATGACTGCAGACCCCAGCACAGGGCCTACCATCGAGGGCGCAGTGAGCAGCTGCAGAGGGGTCATCCCAGGAGAGGACAAAGAAAGAGGAGGCTGAGCGCTGAGCCTGGGGGACACACACAGACGGTGTCACCTGGGGAGAACCGCAGCGACCTCCAGGGCCCTCACGAGGGCTGGCCGAGCAGCCCTTCTCCACGCACCTGGTGATAGCATGAGGAGGGTAAAGCAAGCACGGAGAGAGACCTGGATGAAGCTGGGGGATCGCAGCCCCCAGGGCAGCACGCACAGGACCCCTGGGTGTGACCATGCACAGGGGTGTGCGCAGGTGAGGGCAGCTGCATGCGTGGAAAACATCTGCCCCTTCCGCTCCCCAGAACAAGGAGCAGCACCGTCAGCCAGGGCTGGGAAGGCAGGAGACATGCATTTCCTAGGGGCTATGTGGGAGCCTACGGCATGTCCCCTGCAGTGGCAAGGCTCAGATGCAGTCTCAGGGTCTCGGGGCAGAGGCCACTGAAGGTCCCCTCCCCAAGTACCTGCCCGCACTCCACTCTACACCGGGTATCCATACCTGGGATTTAGTCCACCTCACTGCTTCCCTGAGCAGGGGCTGTGACCCCTGGTCTTTAGTGACCCTGAGCCCCAGCAAGTCCCCAGAGGCCGGAGGAGCAGAGCTACACAAGGGCCACCAGGAGTCCAAGGGCCAGAGCTTGAGGCGGGGCAGGACCCTCCAACCCAGGGAAAGGGCTCTGCTTCTCTTTGCCCCCTGCCCAAGCCTCCCTGGGCCACCAACCAACCCTGCAGCCCACTATGGCCCTCCTGGGAAGAGTGGGGAGTGACAGCATCCAGGCGTCCATGGGGCAGGGCCTCTGTGCCCAGGGACCGTGGGCCTACCCAGGAGCTTCTGAAAGCGCTGTGAGGCGTGGCCACTGGAGGGCTGCCTTAGTAGGGTCTCCCTGTCTCTCTGAGCCTCAGTTTCCTCCTCTGTGAACTAGAGGTTGCAGCTATCCCTGACAGGACTGCAGACTCCTGATGCCACAGGTAGCCATAAAGCCTGCAAACAGGCCGACGGCACAACAGGAGATGTACGGATAGTAGATGAAGTTCATGTACAATGTCTGTGTCCAGACCTGCTGGTCACTTGGATATGCAAACCTGGTGGGTATGGGTAACTTTCAGAGAAAGTGTCACTGTCATAATTATTACAACAGTATGTGACAGCGTTTCAGAGATTATGGCTCACGGCTGCGCATTATGTTATGCTACCCTCAGGACAGATCTGTGAGCTCCAGTGTGTGTCCATCTCACAGGTGAGCAGACTGAGGCACAGCGCCGTTCGCCATTTTCATCAGCCACCGAACTACCAATCCTGGTGGTCAGTGTGAAACCCCTGTGCTATTTCTAGGGAGACCATAAATTACCACCCACACCAGGGGGCAGGGGAGGACACCAAGATGGGAGGCGCACGGAAGCCCCACGCTTAGTAGTGAATCCATTCACTTTTCCAGGTCCTATGTCTACCCCGGCGGGGAGGCAACACCCTGGGGAAGCCTTTCTGCTCGGCTGGGCGGCTCTGCAGACCACCGTGGGTGCGGTTTCCCTTCCTGGAGCGTGGAGCCCTCGCACGGCAGCGATCTGCGCATGCTCACGCTGGTAGCCGCACAGCTCTTAGGAGCTAAATCTTGCGGGGGGGGGGGGGTAGACTGCCCCTTAGCTCAGTTCTTTAAGTGGCTGCTTCAACAGAGCAGTCAGGCTCAGGTTGCTGGGGTTCGATCCCCACAACTCAAGCCAGCCAAACCTGCCCTGAAGGCATTCGGAGCCAAAAAAACCAAAAAACAAAAAACACCTTATTGGGACGGGGAGATGGCTCAGTGGAACAAACGCTTCTTTGGCAAGCGCAAGGCCCGAGTTTAATCCCCGGTTCTACCAAAAAAGAGCTAACTCTCGGACGCAGCGTCCAACAGGTGCATGGAGGAAGCAAATCCCGTGATGTTTATTCCAATGGAGTTCCACTCGGCCATAACAGAGTAGGAGAAGCCCGAGTCCCCGCAGGAAGGTGGATGCACCTTGAGACCTTGCTGTTAAGTGAGATAATCAGACCCTCCAGCGTAAACATCGCATGGGTTCTCGTACAGGAGAAACCCAAAGTATAAACAATTTAAAGAACAAAATACAGGACGGACCCTAGGAAACAGAGAGCTGCGTCTCAGTGAAGTAACAGGACCAAGCTCCCAGGACGGACGCCAGCACTATGCGCGCACACGCGTGTTGACCGAGACGTGAACAGTGACGTCGCAGCAGGGTCGCTGTCCACCATGCCTTTCCTGCTGCCCCGGCCCACTCCACTGTGCGTGCTGGGTACGACGGGCCCTTTCCTCCCAGCGCCTGCTGCTCCCTGTCCCTCCCCTCTCCTTTCCTCCTCCTCCCACGGGCACCAGATGGAAGCGGAACTGCCAGTCCACGGGCCGGACACGGGAAGCGGGCTCTCCAGGAAACCTCGGTGCTGCAGGACCAGGATGGGCGGTGTCCCTAAGCCCCTGGGGGTGGAGGGTGACAGCCCAGCCCGCCTATTTACACCTTGCTCCTGCATGAAGGCTCCGTGGCTGATTAGAGGGACGCACACTGAACCTCCGGAGCAAGATGGGGGTCATTGGGAGGGGTCTGAGCAGGGTCACAGCGTCAGGGGCTGCTAGGTCCCCACCAGAGACACTGCGAGTGCTCCAGAGGGCACCTGCGCGGCCCAAGCTTCCTAGCAGTCGGGGCGAGGAGGAGCGGCACACAGAACAAGCAACAAAGCTGAACCCAAACCTGGGTGTAGTTAACGCCTACCTCGCCACGACCCTGGGCAAGTGGCCGCATTTCCGTGCTGGACTCCCGCACTGATCCCAGCATCCTCACCACCGCACACACCAAGCCCCACCCACCTGCCAGGAGGGAGCAGGAGGGCTAAAGCGCTGTTGTGCCCTAGGGAAGGGGGTGGGGCTTACAGGCAGGGCTCCCTGAGCAGGAGCGGCAGGCGGGGAAGGGTGTGCGGAGCCCATTGTGTGAGTAGCTGGGCAGGCGAGCTCAGGCCTGTGCCCATGTCCGCAGAGGGAAGGGACGCCGGATGTGCTGGCCCCTTCCCTGCGGTCTCTGCAGCTGCGCTCCCTTCCCTGGAGTCGCCTCGCCCTCCCACAGCGGAGATTCCAGGAGGTGCAAAGGAATTAGCAGGTCCGCATTAGCAGGTTCCTCCCCAGCCTCCCAGGAACAGTGGTGCTAAGTGCCAGGGGCACCTCTGTCACCTCTCAGGCATTAGCAGTGAATTACGGAGACACCTTCCCACGTGTAGCAGCTGCTGAGGATGCACACACAGCTCCGATGGAGGCCTCTTGATGCTTTCTGTGAGGAGTGTGGTGGGCCCCACCCTGCAGACCCTGGACACCTGCAGCTGTCCTGGATGACCCCGACTGCCCCCAGAACCCCTCAGATACAGGGTGCCCACCCACAGATCCACAGACCGGGAAGTCAGGCATTGTCTGGCTTGTGCCACTGGAGCCCTGCACTAATTTCCATGCCTGGGGCAGGTGCCACCCTTTGGTCCTAACATTCCCTTTCATCTGAGCTCCGAGCAGCCTCAGCTGTCATACTGGGGTTCATCGCTTTGCCATGGGAGCTAACTGCACTCCATAAGAACAGGTGCCGGACCCTTCCTTATCCCCAAGCCTGTGCTGTCAACACTGGTCCCTGGCACTCATGATTACTGAAATACACACCTGCATGCCTGAGGGTCCGGGAGCGAGGCTGCAAACGCTGGCACCAATCTCAGTCCTCACTGTGTGACTTTGGTGCCTACTGTTTCGTGACCTCACACATTTCTGTTTCCTCATCATCTACCCAACAGGCTCTCCCCATTTTCCCCTTCATGTCCTGAGGACACAGCTCCCTAAACACAAGGGAAGTAGACCCCTGGGCACCCTTGCTATGCCCAGTGGTGGGCTCTCAGCAACAACAGGGACACTGCAACGCGTGATGCTGGAACACGAGGTTTCCTCTGACTTGATTCACTCATTCACTCATTTGTTCACAGAATCATTCATCAAATATCACTTGTTTGAGGGTGTGCTGAGTGTGGAGATCACCCTGAGTTCAAGACAAAGCAGACGCCGTCCGCACAGGCTCCCCCAGCAGGAGCTCATGCCCTCGTGGAGGAGGAACGACAGAGGACCACTCACCTGCAGATGGACAAGAGCTGTGGGGGAGGAAGATGAGAAGTTGGGGTGTCGGCCAGGAGCGGGCGGCCTCCCCTCCCAGGTGTTTTTGTCTGGCTGTTCCTGCTTACGTCTCTGCTGCTAGTGCTTGTGTGTGATACCTGATGACCACACTCATGATGTGACATCTGGGCATCTTTTTGTCCCCTCCCCTTTCTTTTCCTCCCCACTCCTTCCAACTCTCAGGCCCTTCCCATTTGCAAACTCTTGCTCTATTTCTGGTTTTCTGCCTTTCGATTCTTCTCCATCCCCTACTCCTCCCCTGTTGATCCCTTCTCCCTTTGAAAAAGAGCTCACTATTTCCTACTATTTTATTTATAATTTTGGGTTCTCATTAAGAG